CCCACTGCTAGTAAATGTCAGAGTCAGAACTTGAACCGGGCTTCCCAATTCTAGGCCAAGGTCAGTGGACATCCAGGCCGATAGGTAAATTCGGCAAGTTCTAAGCAAAGACTAGGTCTTGCGGATCCAGCAGGGCTCCTGCAACCTCTTCCCCTCAACAATGAGATAATTGTTTCCAAGCAGACACTTCCTACTTGAGGGTTTTTGTTCTTTTTGTTTTCAAATTGGAAAATCCACCTCAGACCTTAAAACAAAAGCCTTTCCGAATTAATTTTAGAAGAGCAAATGAATGAGTGAAGGAATGAATGTCTTTTGTGACTACAAACAGAAGCTGAGGGCAGCAGACACCCAGAGAGGTGGGCAGTAGGAAGGTGAGGGCAGGCTGTGGGTTGTGACGGCACGCTGGACGATGTGCCTGAGGCCCAGTCAGGAGTGACCGCTGAGGTCTGGAGGAGTAGACGTTACAGCAGAACGCTCAGGGCTATACTGGCACGGGCACCCAGGCCATGGCTCAAGCATTGCCGCCTTCAAGGCCGACCCTCAGGGCCGGGGCTTGCACTGGGCTTTTAAGTTCTGACATGACGGTCACTCCTCCCACGTCCTTCGTCCTTCAGCCCCATTTGTGGCGGGGCAAGCAGGGAACAGGGGTGAGGGAGTGTAAGGTGTTCGGAGGTCAGTTGTGGCCGCACGACTCAGGCCTGGGCCCGTGGGATTATGGGAGCTAGCCAGGAGCCTGAGACAGGCACTCCGCGTTGGGACTCAGCAGTCCTGGGGCACTGCCCAGGCCCTGGGGCGTCTCAGACTTGAGAGCTCAGAGGCAGAGCGTGGGTGGAATGAGGGGACAGGGTCATGAAGTGGGGTCCAGCCCGTGTGTGGAGCCACATCAGGTGAGGGCTGTTCGTGGGTGGGCACTCCTCTCTGCATTGGTGTGGGAGAACCAGTGGGGCCAGGAGAGGCCCGCACTTCCACAGAGCAGGCTCGTCTGGGAAACTAGTGAGGCTCCCGTGTGCCAAGCCCAGCCGAGAGAAGCCCGCAGCTGAGCACCAACCATGCTGCAGAAGCAGTGAGAGAGGTCGGAAGACACTCGGGGTGGCCTGGCCTGGGTCACAATGGGACCGCTCCCTGTAACGGCTGCAGAACAAGTAGCTTCCCTGGGACCCTACGGATGAGAGGTGGAGAGGGCATCGGGGTGTCCAGGAGGACCTAAGGCGCAGCCTGGACAGATGGCCCCTTCTTGAGGGAGGAGAGGGACATGATGACTCCAGGCAGGGCATGCACGTGGCCAGGGTCTCTCTAGCATGGCCGCTGTGGGCTGGGACAGCGGCAGCATCTGGCAGAGAGGGCTGGCTGGGGCGCAGTGCCCGCTGGGGCCACATCCCCAAAGGTGGGGCAGGAGGGAGGAGCCTGGACTTGTGGGGAGACGCTGGCCCAGCCTGACCAGGGCGCCAGAGTTGAACCTCATAAGGGGTGGGTGGGCCCCTGGGTGGGTGGGCCCCCGAGTGACGACATCCAGCCCTTCAGCTGGCCCCAGCCCACCTTTTCTTTTGGAGGGGACCATGAGCGGAGCCCCAGGGGATCTGGATTCTGGCCACCCAGGATGAATTGGAGAGGATAAGGCCAGGGGCTGGGAGATCAGAAGGGGGCAGTTTCATGGTCCAGGTGGGACCTGCTGGCTTTAAGGCAGGGAGTGCTGGTGAGAACAGGGGCAGGCAGAGTCCAGCGATATTAAAGAGCACAGAGCTCGGTGGCCAGCTGATACCAGGAACGAGGAAGAAATCAGAGCTGAAGATGATACAAAGAAGTCCAAAAATGCTGATTCATAATAATCCTTCATCTTAGCACAATTCTCACTAGTCAGTTTATAAGCCTCTCCCACACCTCACCTGCACAGCAGTGGCTGAATTGTGTGTGTGCACGCGTGTGTGTGTGTAGCCACACATGTGGGTGTTGTGATTTGGGAGCTTTTTTGAGTTTAAAACTATAGAAATTGACTCACAGTCCTGGAGGCCAGAAGGCTGATGTCTGAAGGCTGTAGGTGGGGGGTTTCCCTGCGTTTCCAGCCCCTGATGGCTGCTGGTGACCCTAGGCGTTACTTGAACTTGCAAAGGCGTCTGTCCCATCTCTGCCTCCCTCTTCACCGGGCTTTCTCCCCTGTGTGTCTGTGTCCGAATGTCCCTCTTCTGGTCAATCCAGTATGAGCTCATCTTCCCTGGATTCCATCTGCAAAGACCGTATTTTCAAATACTCTCCGATTCCACGCAGACAGGCTATTATGGGATGCCACGTGCACACGCGTGTGAATGCACACGCACGCGTGTTTCCTAAGTTGCCACTGACAGGCTGACCGCACCCATTGTGTGGACCTTGCAAATGATTCAATGGGTTGACTGACCATTACTGAGAACTTTTCTAAACCAGGAGCTTTCACAATATTACCTGTTTTAAACAACCCCGTGAGGCGGCGATATGCCCCCCCTTTGTGAAAGAGAAAATACAGAAGTGAAGAGACATGTTGGAGGCCCCAAGTGTAAATAATACAGGTGAACCCAGGTTCCAAAGTGGACTCCCCTGAATACTGGCTTGATGGAATGTTGATGGATCTTCCAAATAATGACACCAAAAGTGTCCCGTGGTGGAATAAGTTTCAGAAAAGATTCCTTCCAGGGACTGTGCAGTGCCTTTCTGGCGTGAGTGGGCCCCACCCACCACCAGAGCCAGCAGTCCTACGCCGCTGGCCCCTGCCACTACCCATGCCTGAGAGGCCACACCTGCTTGTGGCTTTTGCTATTAATCAAGTAAGTCATTAATAAGCCAGGCTCCTGTGTTGTGGTGACGAATGCAAACGAGGGCCCCTCGTGCCAGGGCCCAGGCTCAGCGCCAGGCTCGGGGGTCTTTCCTGGTCAGGAATAATTTATTTCGAAGAACAAGGGCCCATGCAGACCAGCTTCAGGAGAAGGGAGAATGGTCTGGGAGCAGTTCCGGTGGTAATTAACGGAGCCTGAGGACAAAACCTGCATCTAGGTCTCCACCTGGGCCAGCAATGGAGTTCCTGCCCCGCCCCGGCCCCTCCCCCGACTCCAATTCCATGGAGGCCACTCCTGCCTTGGGCCAGGCAGGCTGTGTCACTGAGACAGCCTTGCTTCTGAGTTACGACCCCAGGTCACAGCCGCCTACAGGCTCCTGGAGGGCGTGACCTTGACTTTTTTTATCGTTACATCCCCGTGCCAAGTCCAGGGCCTGGCTGAGCAGTCAGTGCCCAGTGACGTTTTGTTACCTGGGGCCCTCTGTCTTCTAGCTGTGTGGCCTTAAGCAAGCAATGGCTCGACTTCTCTGAGCCTCAGGTCCATGCGCTATGACAGATAACAATACCTGTGCCAGGTGGCGAGTGTAGGAACTAATGAGCTCATGGGAGACGAGCACTCGTGTGCCCGAGATGAGGAAGCGCTAGGAGTCCACCTGTGGCTCTGTTTTCCACCTGCTTCCTTCTCCGGGAGGAGCGCGCAGGGGGCCTCCCGAATTCAGTTATTTGAGGCTGTGGCTGACATTTCATTCTATAGCCCCAGTTATCTGTTTCCTAGGAAACAAGTGAGAGACATTGACTGCAACCACCCCCCCCCCTCCACACGCGCACACACACACGCGCGCGCACACACACACACACACACACACCCTGGCTGCCACCCAGATTGACAATAACAAAAATACAGTAAATGTCAGCAGCAGCTAAAAATACTTACACACCCCACTTTGTACTGCTGCTCCCTGCCACCCGGGCCCCCAGGAACAGAGGGACGATGACAACACCCCCTCTGACACTGAGTGTGGCATCCTCCGAATGGGCAGGTTGGGGGGTCCCGCCCTGCACCCCACCACCTTCCCTTCCTCTCTTGTTTCACCAGGACTGCACCCACGGGGCCTCCACAGGCTGGCCCCTCAACCCCATTGTGCAGCCTAGAGAGACGGCCCCCAGGCACGCAGTCTGCAAGCCCACCCCCCACAGCACCCCAACCCTGTAAACCTGCACTTTACCCTGCCAGTGCCCCAGTCTGTGGCACCCCCACCCACCAAGTTGCTCAAGCCAGAAGCCTGGGAATTATCCTGGCTCTCTCCTCCCACCCGTCCGTCCACTCAGTCCACTGCCCTGCCCCACGCCCCTGCCCAGCCTGGCACCCCTATTCCCACTGTATGGCCCCCTCCCGCCCCCAACCCTGCTGTGTGCTCCAGACAGCCGTGCTGCCCCTCACGTTCTTCCATCCAAGTGAACTAGAACCTGGACCAACGCCCATCCTCCGGGAAGCCCTCTGCTTCCCGGGGCTGAATCCGAGGGTGACTTTCTCTCGCCCACAGCCCCTCACTCATCTCCACTGCAGTGAGGATCCCTGCACCTCCTTAATGTCAGCAGCACGCGTGCTGACTAGGCTTTGGGCACCATTCTAAGAGCTTTCCATGGAGTAACACACGTGACAGTATCACAGGGCGCGTCGACTGTTGGCTCCTGTGCGATCTGGGAGCTCAGGGGGCACGCCCTGCTGGCGAGTTAAGTTGGTCACCATGCCCCACACAGCGACGGCTTCCAGTGGGCCCTGCTAGGGACCGCGTCTGTGCTCCTCGCTCTGAGCCCAGGACCTAGAAGAGTGCTAGGAAATTCTCGCGCTGCACTGAATGGGTACCCAGGTCCCAAAAGGGACGGCCACTGTGCTGGGGTGTTTTCCTGCCTTCTTTCTAGCACACCGGACGTGGAAACCTGGCTTTTTGCAATCTGTTTGCAAATAGGGCTCTGTGGGTTCTTGCCCTAAGCCTAGGTTCCGTTTCCTCACGCAAAGCCCGCCTTAGTCAAGACTTTGAAAGTGCTAACTAGAGTGGCATTCAGATGACCACACGTGACGGATCTGTGCCCAGCTCATGTGGCAACGAGCGCTGTGCAAACAGCTAGCTGGACAGCAGGAGACGCTGCTGGTTCCGTGGGCACCCCAGTAATCAGAGATGTCTTCTTGGTGCAGCATTATTTCACAGTTAACTTCAGCCATGAGAACCAGAAAACCTTGGAGCTGAGGACAGAGGATGCGAAGGACTGTGACGAGTGGGTGGCGGCCATCGCTCATGCCAGGTAAGTCTCCCCTAGCCCCACAGTCCAACCACAAGAGACTGAACCCGAACCCCAGGAAGA